TCTCTCTCTCTCAAGTTATAACTTATAAATATATACAATATATTTACATATAATATATGTATATATAATATATAGTTACATAATAATTTAGAAGTATATACTAATACATAATTATATAAAATATAATAATATTAAACTAATTTTTAGCATTTTTTTATCAAAAAAAAGAAAAGAAATTTAAAAAAACCTAGTTGGGATGTACTTATCTATTGTGATGCGATGAATTCCAAAATAAATTTATACTTGTAATTTGTAAATGATTTATTAATTATTAATAAAGAATTTATTTTTATAATTTTTTATTTATAATTTATGTCATTTTAAGTGATTAATAAAATTATTATTATTTTATTATTTTTTATCTTTTTTTATAATTTAAAACTTAAATAAAATTTGAAAATTTGAAATAAAAATTTAAAAAAAAAAAAACCCGGGCCGGCCCGAAACCCCCCGGCCCGGGGTACCCGGGTCCGGGTCCGAGCTCCGGTTTTGCTCGGCCCGGATTTCCGGGCCGGCCCGGATGGACAGGCCTATTGATGGATAAGCTGATTATTCTTCTTGGTATGTGTAAGCTAGTAGATGTCACTTGTCAGTTTGTGCAGTTAATTAGGGGAATTATTGTTGGCTATGTTGTTCATGAAAATGCAATTTTGTGTTTGTGGGCTTATAATGGTTCTCCTTTTATTAGGTTTTGAGTAGTATTTTAAGTTTTGTATCGTGTAGGTGTAATTGTCGTTTTTTGATTTTCTGAACTGCAAATCTCATAAGTGTTTACCTGATTAACTCAAACCTAATTAATCGAGTGGCATGGATCGTGTTAGCTATAAACAAGCAAAAATTGTTTTATTGTGAAAAAAAATTGTATTTTGTTTTAACAAAATTAAACTCGGAGCCTCTAAAAATCCAATTACTTCATTTTTTTATCGCTAGACCTTACCCAAATCTTTTTCCACTCCTAACAACCTAATCTAAAGCATCTAGACAAATAAAACACGAACCTTTATTGAGAGCTTGGTTAGCTACACTACTAGAGGCATGTTGGCTCTTTCACGTGAAAGTTGAGCCCCTCGCCTTATCCACAAACTAATGTTGACCAAAAATCTAGACAAGTAGCAAATAATCCACATACCAACCTCAACCATTTTAGGAAACTAGGTTAGCTACCCTAAGGCCCCGTTTGGCAAAGGGTTAATGACTAGGGGTTAAAGAGAAAGATTAATGTACTTAGCCCATTTGATAATCCGAATGACTAAATTATTAACCCGTGAGGGGTTAAAGAGAAAGATTAATGTACTTAGCCCATTTGATAATCCGAATGACTAAATTATTAACCCGTTAAATAAGTTTTATTTTAGCCCTTATGATCAGTTTTAGTGTTTAGGAATAACAATGATTTTGACTATTTTCTTTATAATTAGAAGGGTTGTAGGCTGTCTAAAAATCACAATAGATAGATTATCCCCCATCAGACACCAATGATGGAAGTTACAATCTGACGACTTCCAGAATGCTACAATTTGAAGACTTTCACGTAGAAGGTTACAATCTGACGACCTTCACGACAACTGATGAAAGCTCGGCTACAATTTGAAGACTTTCACGTAGAAGGTTACAATCTGACGACCTTCACGACAACTGATGAAAGCTCTAATTCAACAGCCTTCACAATCAACATCGGGAGTTATAATCTGATGACTCTCATATTTGCAAGGAGACGAAGATTACAAGAGGACGATCTGTGCAAAGCTCTGGCAAAAGAGACTACAAATTGACGGTCTCTTCATATTAGAATGCAGATATCTCTCAAATCGTAAGGAATTTGGCAAAACGGAGGAAGCGAACCAAAGCCTTTGGCTTGGTTCGGATGGCTCCGTCTCGTCGAGATAGCCGATTTTCATATATAATTCGTCCAATTCCGACTTACGGTTTGAAAGTTATGACATGTTCTTCGCAGCAAGTCATGTTCTGAAGTCCGTCTGTGAGACCGCACTTCGCCTGAGCATTGGACTTAGCACGAAGTTCGTCGAGCCCACCTAAGGATCACCTCTGCATCCAAGATTCAAAACGCAGAGGTCATGCCCGCGTTCTAAACTCAAAACGCAGAGGTCGTGACCTCATTTGAGATTCAAAACG